TTTAATTAGAATTAGTAATCAATTTTGATTGTTACTATGCAGAAACGTTCTTCGTTTCAATATATATTTTCTCATCCACATTAATTAATAAATCTAATAAATCAGACAGAACAAATAAAACAAAATAGAATAAAATAAGAATTTGGACACTCGCTCATCTGATGTTGTCGTATGTTTCAAAACAACAGAAATTCGCAGTATTATTTGGTTTTATAACAGTCAAAGATCACAGTCAAAGGTGGCAGCATAACTGAAAAGGTTTTGCTTTGTAAGCAATAACGAAGACTCGTGGAGTGATGGCATAGGAAGTAGGGGAAGGTGGAGGGATTGGAGGTTCAGAAACAATTTCATTTGTTGCACTTTTGGGTATATTAGATCAAGGTTAAAATATTATCACACAAATTCATACATTTGTTGAATTCTACAAAGCTATTCATTGTTTTTTCAAGTTTTATGTTAAGGTATCGGAACCCATACGAGAACGATACGTGGGTTCAATATCCAAAATCTCATAATGATCAAAGTTAATGTTGTGAGACAATTGGAACGTGTAGCATGTTATGGAATTCCATTTGTTGGTGGAGGGGGTCCTCAATGTTCTTCTCATGTTCAGTTATTCTCATAAAAAGTTTTATCTTGGTTTAACCAATAAATCACAATCATTACATTAAATAAACGATATTATGCGAATTCTGTGACTCAAGTGGATCTTTTATGCAATAATGAGATGCTGTTTATTGGTTATTTTAAAGCTGATTGATACATTTTTATCTTTAAATGTTTTGGTTAACCTATTGCAGATATTGAGAATGGTAAATTTGTATTGGATCTATGTATATTATTATCGTTTGTGCGAGATTCTATTAAATTCCAATGTAAATTTCATTTTCAATTTATTGGAATAAACTGATATATAGATCAATACTACAAAAGTTTCACATATGTAATTTTGGCAACTTAAATTTCTGGCGTCTCTATTCAAATTCCTTAAGTACGTTCCCCGGAGAAACGGAGACGTTACGGAGACTCCGAGGATTCCTAGTCAGGTGATCGTCTAGGATCCCCTATTATTAACGACACCGAGCCCCTGGCTGTAGGGATGAAAGGCACTGACTGACTGCGACGTGACGAGACTTGACAAATTAAAACTTAATGGAGGGCTACTCCTATAAAACTCGTATTTACAAGCGCTCAACAAGGGTTTAGAAGCAAGTTGCGTCGATGAACGTGACGGATAGACGGATGGAGAAACCGACGCTTTGCCGCATTCGATGTTTAAGTATCAAGGACGAACCTGTTAGAGAACCCCCCTAAATTTAGCAACTGTATTTATCCTATTTTTTGTTCCTACTGTAAGAGTTTTTCGGCCGACGATTCGCCGTTTTTCGCACAGCATTATATAACTTTCTCTCTACTGCGTAGTGGTAGCGGAAACATAGAAAAGTTTAAAAAATCGATGTTGTATCGATGATGTTAAAGTATCGACAGTGTTATAAAAACATATATCTCATCCATATCTTTGCGCCATTGGCCTCGCCCCAGCGCGCCCTGTCGTGTTTGCCTTGCTTACCGTTGCTGTGGGCAGCTGTATATAGATGCATTGTGGCATACTCTCAGTAAACTTCAGTAATAGTTTTCACTTTCAGTTACGCAGAGTCTAATTATGGTATGTAAATTAAATTCGAATGCATACAGTAGGAAATTATATGGGCTTTTAGAAAGGTTTACACACTTTGATGGATTTCGTTTCCTTTTTTGATATTTTCGCGAAAAACTGAAAGAGTGAGCACTTAAAATTTTCTTTTACATACGAAAGGAGAATTTGGTAGATTTTACGATATCTCATTGAGACAATATATTTTGTTTTGGTGTGAATGTCACATGTTGAAACAAAAATTAAGATCGGAATAAAAGTATAGAATTAACATACTTATTTGTGTAATATAAAATAATAATTTGAAAAGCGTGTACGACATTTGTATGCACGACCCGAAGAAAACCGCATCAAAATCGGTTCAGCTGTTCTTGAGATTACTCTAAATAGACAGAAAAAATATTAAAATATTAGGATTTTGTATTATGTCAACAATATGCGGTTAAAAAAGGTAGCAATTTTTAAATCACGTACAATTTTATTTACATACAAGAAGATTCACGAGTTGTTTCATCATCTTTGGTGAAATTCACTTTATCGCTGGATACCGCAATTGTGTTGCCAATAACTTAATGAGAACTATTGCTACTGTCAAATGGCTCTGAGTCATCTTGAGGTCGTGTTCTTTCCAGGGGAAAGCTGAGATAACGCAAGCTTTGGCTGACGATGCACAGCGAGATTTAGATGAAGCTTTGCCTGCTATGGTAGCTGCTATGAAGGCATTAGACTCCCTAAACAAAACTGATATTAATGAATTAAGAGTATTCAATAAACCACCTCATCTCGTAAGATTTGTTATGGAAGCTGTGTGTGTATTGTTGAATTCAAAGTAAGTATCAATTGTAGTATGGGATCTCATATTTTCGTATCCAGTCCTTGGTCTGATGATATTGTTACTTTTGTGAATTATTAGGAGAGTGTTGCCTATATTGAACCACTTTTTGTAAAAAAAAGTTTTTTCATGTACCAATAAATTTTAACATGATCTAACACAAGTACAATGTATGTTGGTCTTTATCACAACTTATAATACATTGTCAGACCTATACAAATCTCAGCCACTTTATGAAAAATAAAACAATAGACTTCTACAAAAGTTTAATTTTGGAAACTGGTTTCCCAAATTGAACCTCAGGTGTCCTAAATTGAAGCAGATATATTAATTCAAAGGAATCAATAATTTTATTATGTTCAATGTTTTCAGATAAAGTGTAGTTAATGCTGACCTCATACCATACCATAATATGAAAATATATAACATACCATAATATGAAAATAAAACTCAAAACGATACAACTTACGTACAATCTGCACAAAAATTCATTTTCTCCCCTGACAAACTCCAGCACACATTTCGTGGGCCTGTGATATTTCAAACATCACCGATTATATTTCGTACATTGTATCATGTCTTCTACTGATTTTGTGTCACATGGAACAGAACCAGTCTTCATCTTGTTTCGTGCTCATTTTTAAGAGGTTTGCCATTATTTTGAAAGTCTAGAAGTTTTTTCTTTGCATTATTTTTCTTTGCTTCAACGCAATTTTCTTAAAGACGGCTCCCAATTTTTAAATAAAAATTGACACTTAAAACGAGGTTTTACTTTTCTTTAATATTCTTAAAGTAATATTTCGATTCTACAACTAGGAAACCAAAAAACTGGGAAAATTTAAAAAAAAATGTATTTTGTGCGTCAATAGATAGCAGCTATCAAGAGTATGTGGCAAGTTTGAATAGGTAGCTCAGACCAAAGACAATAGAAAACTAATTCGAGAAAGTCTGTACCATTCTGTAGCACCAATAGTTTTCTTTTATTTCCCCTTATCTTCGAAACCTATAGAGTAAAGAAAAACTAGTGATACTGCAAAATGGCTCAGACGTTCTGGTAGAAATTGGTTTCCTATTTTCATGAGTTCGGGCTAGCTTCCGAGTATTGCCCCACCCTCTTCCCAACTACCTTATGTCGGCTCCTAAAAGACCTACCTGGGCCTCTGGTGCATCAACCGCTCTCCTAGGAACAAATCTCAGCACAAAGGTCTCTCGCGCTCTTAGAATCATCACACCAACATAGTAGCTATTAGGGACATCTCGATTACTTATTTGCACATGGTAGCTCGTAGCCCATCTCAGTGAATGTTTTTCATCGTTACAAAGGTTTACAATTCAAAGGTTATTGGAATGTAATTCCTCAATTACGGACAGAGACGGATTTGCACGCACAGATGTGTGAGATCACACGGTTGTTCGCCAGGCCAAGAGATTATTGAAGATGAGATACACGACGGACTGGTAAAGCCCCCGACAACACACCCGAAAGCGTTCATGCATGCGTTGGTTTGGAACCCGATGATATTGGGTATATTTCTAAGACGTGGTCTGAGGCGCGGTTTTGAAACCGTGGCTTTGAAGACGGTTTGAGCTATTGCGCGAATCTGATTGATAAAACGATGATTCAACAAAGTCTGGCCTCGGTCTCAAGAATCGGAAACAGAAGGATTGTTAGTGTAGCAGGAAGGATTGCATAGACAACTATGCAAGACACGCAGAATAACACAGACACTGAACTTCTGCTACTAAACATGAACATGAAATGTGAGACACAAAAAATGTTAAAGAAGTTGTACAGAGACAAACCACTCCATGGCCAATATCTAAAAAGAACGGACAAGGTGCAGATCAATAAAGATCAATCATTTATGTGGCGTAAAAGGGGCAGAAGGAAGCAGTTCTAATAGCTGCTCAGGCGTTGACATCACAACAAAATGATAAAGCGGTTTTCAAAATTTCCGAAGATGGTAAATGCCGCATCTCCCAGAAACAAGTAGAAACCATTGATCACATGGTCTCAGGTTGTCCAGTTCTAGCAAAGACCGAATACTTGAAAAGACACGACAGGGTGTATAGTTACCTCCACTGGCCGTTCTGTACCGCCTTCGAAGTTCCAAACACATGTCCTAAGTGGTACGAGCGCTCACTAAAACCGGTGACATCTGTTAGACTCTGCAGTTTTGTACCACCAACAAATTTTAACGGATCGCACGATAGCAACAAACAAACTGGATAGTGTTATCCTGGATTTGGAGAAAAATCGTGTCTACTTGTAGATGTTGCTGTGCCTTGCAATCAAAACATGGTAACCAAGGAGGCGGAGAAATGCCTTAAATAGAAGTGTTTGGAAATCGAGATCAGCCGAATGTCGAGCGTAAAAGTACAGGGCGTACCAATTGTCATCAGAGCTCTGTGATTTGTTCCGCAAAATTTATACAAGAACTTGGCTAAACTCTCAGGTGGTTCAAAAGACGGGGTAGAGCAAGACATTGATTTATTTGGAACAGCTCACATTTTGCGAAAAGTATTGTAGAGGCACCTTATGTAGCTGGTTGCAACCTGGAGTACATGTTATATTCAGCTGACTCTTAACACCTTAGATGTAGAGGAATAATAATAATAATAATAATAATAATAATAATAATAATAATAATAATAATAATTTCTTGACTAAAACAACTTTTTGATGCACCCGTGGCCTACATTGCAACACTGATTTACGTATTACAACGATTTTGACACAGTTCGACTTCTAGCAACAAGAGAGGGTTGCTTGGCATAACTTGTGGGGTTGATTGCACAGTCGTCGGAGTGAGTTGGTGCTAGATTGGAGTAAATTTATTCTCTACTTTTGTGAGAAAGTGTAAAGAATTAAACAATCTGAAAATTGTTTATTTACAAAAATAAATGCAATCAAGCTTATAGACAATTTGAGATTTTCTGGTCACAAGTCGTCGGTTGTCTCGTAGAAAGGCGAGAATATATTCTATACGGAGTACTGCAAAATGTTTACCTGAGAATTTAAGCGATTTTACACTATAATATTCAATGGTGTTTGAGATAAGTAAGAAAAACGAGCAACTCGCGAAGTAAAACTTGGCTTAAAAATTGTTTAGTTTCTTTTGAACATTTTCTGTACTGAATTTCGTCTATGAAATTTATTGGAACGGAGTGTTCGGTACATACGGATCATTGTATCGCAACAAACGAAGATGTAAAATGAAATGTTACTTTTACGTACACATATATTCGCAGTTTTAAAAAAAAAGACAACTGATTTAGTTTATGCAAAGGTTTTTAAAGCATCATCTGATGACTAGTTTTAGTTTTATCTTAATTTTGTATTTTGTTGATTTTCAGAACCGATTGGGCTACTGCGAAAGTAATTTTGGGAGATACTAATTTTCTGAAAAAGCTGAGGGATTATGACAAAAATAACATCTCAGATGCAACGTTAAAGAAACTGGCTTCGTATGTTAACCATCCAGACTTTGTACCAGAAACTGTAGCTACCCAATCAAAGGTTTGCAAATCGATTTGTATGTGGGTAAGAGCAATCGATCGTTATGCAAAGGTGTATCGAATTGTAGAACCTAAGAGGAAAAAGTAAGTAGAAATTTAAATGTGTATATATTTTGATTAATGCTTAAGGAGATCTATGAGACCTTTTCAAATATAGTTTTGTCACTGACACGTTTGTTAAATGTATGTTAAACAAAAAAGTATTTCTGAAAAAAATTTTATTTTCCCAAATGCAAATTTTGTGATTTCGACTCATAAATTTTAAAATAAAAAGCACTTAATACTAGTGGCGCTACAACAACACATACGTTCTCGCATCATTTTTTCCTGCAAATACCGAACAAAAAAAGGATTAAATAGTTCCGTTTGTCTTCGCTCTCTGTAATTTTGTTTTTATTTGCATTCCTCAACACAGCATTGTCCTCCTTATTTCCCTTTCGTCTTTTTACGTATTTGAAAAACTGATTAACCCCTGCTTACACTCTGATAACACACATTGTAAAACATTTTCTTTTCTCTGAGCGAAGCACCCAAGAGAGATTCTTGAATTTTCCCCTCTTTTCTGTACTTCTCTCGCTCTTTCCGTAAGCTCGTCTATCTTTTGATTTCAATTTCCTTATCTTTTCATTACAGAAATCGTGATCTGGGTCCTTTTTATGATATTTCAGTGGCACGAAGATATTTCTGTGGTGCTGTGATATATCTTCTTCCAGACGTCGGCATCCTCAACACCTGAAATGAAATAGGGCCTCAGAAAGTGTTTACAACTCCACTTCTGGAGAAACCTGCCACTCATTCATTCCCATTTACTCTATTAATTAATTAAAATTAATTAATTTTCTAACTTGTTTAGGCTGGCCTCTGCTAACACCGATCTAATAACCAACATTACTTCTCCAACCACTAATTACACTTTTTATAATATCCCTAACTTTTCCTAGACTTTTTAAAAAAATATTTCATGAAGTGAGAGTTATTATCTCTTGATATCTCCTGGGCCTGAGTTACGTTTTTATGTCGACAGTAAGAGTCCCCCGTATCAATATTTATCTCTCCATGTTTCAGTGGCAGGGCAATGTACGACGATGTGAATTCTGTCTTCAACGTAGAAACGCACACAGCCATCATTGACTTTTCAGCCTTTCAATCCACTTTGCAATCACCTTAAGCCATGCCTAATCCTCTCACGCGCCCCTTGACCGTGACCATAACTTTCACATCCCCTTTAGGATAATATTATATTATATAACGATTTCCAATAATACGAGCAGATATGAGCTGTTTAAGCCCCAGAATTTTCTCTTTTATTTTACTACCATTGCTGAAATTTGTGTTGGAATGTGGTATTTTTACGCAAGAAGAATTTAATTTAAAAAAAAAAACACTGAAAGAACAGCATTTAAAAATGTCAGTTGCATACCTCAAAACCTCAGACAGGTCTTTTAAACACCGCACGAACCTTAAAGATAGCAACGAGAAAATAGTGTTTTCTAATAGAAGGAGAATATGAAATTTTTTTATGTGAAACAATTTTTTTTTTTTCACAAAAATCATGAAATGTCAGTGATGTGGCCCGTTAACGACTAATTTCTACAGACTAGAAGAAGCAGAAACGGAGCTTGAGAGCGTAATGGCAGTTTTAAAAGAAAAGCAAGCTAAACTTGCCGAAGTGGAAAACCAAATTGCACAATTGGAGAAAACGTATGACGCGAGTGTTCAAGAAAAAACTAATCTAGAACACGCTATGGAGCTAACTGCTTTGCGGTTGATTCGTGCTGGAAAACTGACAACCGCTCTGGCGGATGAACAAGTTCGCTGGCAGAAGTCAGTCGAGGTAAGTGACTACCAACTGACTACCTAAATACTCTATCAGTGTACTGCAGAAGTTCGCAAAGTAATTAGAGGCTGTCATTAATGTCTGCTTTTTGAGACGTAAGAGAAAATAGCTTCATTTTGTCTCCCAGTTCATCGGTCTTCAAAATATGTATTTACTTATTTATTCCAAAATATATTTAAAAAATAATAATGTAGGTATTATCTAAAAGGATGATAAGACTCAATATACTATACAAATATAATATAATTTTATATTCAACATAATGTTTGAAAATGCAATTTACTGTTGATTAAAAAATAGTCGAAATGAGAATTATCAATAATGTTTACATCAATCTAATTAGTTATGCATGAATTTTATGCAATGACAAACTTTTGAAAAAATGTTCTTCTAAGAAAATATTGTACAAGTAATATATTTACGTTCATTTTTTTTTTAATTTTCACACATGTAACTTAATTTTTTCAGACACTGACAGAACAAACGGGATCACTCATCGGAGATATTCTTCTAGCTGCGGCTTGTGTTGCGTATTTTGGAGCATTCACAGTACTATACAGAGAGGAGTTACTAAACGTGTGGGTCACTGATGTCAGGCAACTCAAAATTCCATCAAGCAATGTATTCGGGTTAGTACAATTTACACAGTGTAAATATACACTATTAATATATAATAATGTGTCAATTATTTTGCAATGTGAATACTTATTATTAGGGGCGGATTTTAATGATATTTCATCTTTTTTCACATTAGAACAATGCAGTTTAGTATAGAAATTCATTTTATGTTATGACTAAACTAAATGGCCCATTCTTATACGTAACATCTTTTCATTTTTCATCGATGTCGACTAATAAGTCATTATTTACCTTTTACGTCATTTTTGATGCATTTGTCGCTGATTTAGCTGGTTTGTTGGTTAATTTTGCAAATAACCTCCCTAAATGGCGTTATGTAATGAGAAACCAACTGAAAAGACTACAATGATGATTTTAATCGAAATCGAAACATTTCTTTAATAATGAAATAGAAACTATTTTAGGGATTACTAAAAAGATCACTAATAAGTCAGGCTTTGTTAATGCTAAATATGGTTTGTTTAATTTAAAATTTAAGCACTTTTGATCATACTTTATAGAATTAATCGTAATATTTTGCGATATCTCTTTTCTCTTCCCACATATCTGTAGATATTAGATTTACTACCGGCTTGATAAACATCTAGCAAAACTATTAACGTACGCCAAAATGTTTGACTTTTATGTTGCATTAGGTAACACATTATTGAACGTCTTGAAAATGTAAGAATACCCTTTTCTTCTTAAATGTTTTAATTTTAATATAATGAAACTATTTTTTCTTCCAATTAGTTTAATAAATGTCCTGGCGGATCCATTTGAAATTCGTCAATGGAATTCCCAAGGCCTGCCTCGAGATGCTTTGTCCACTGAAAATGCTGTACTAGTCACACGAGGAGAACGTTGGCCATTGATGATTGACCCTCAGGAACAAGTAGGTGCTACAGGAATAACTATGAAATTCAAAATTAGCTTAATATCCTCATATTCGAAAATTGTTTGGTTTTTTCGACAGGCCAACAGATGGATTCGAAATATGGAGAGTGGCAATAAATTATTAGTTGTAACACCGTTTGAACAAAATCTTCAAAACGCGTTAGAAAACGCAATCCGTGTAGGTCGTCCAGTTTTGCTGGAAGGAGTTTCAGAATATCTGGATCCATCATTAAATCCTCTGCTTCAGAAAACCACATACTTGCACGTAAGTAGAAATGTAATCATGTTGATTAAACATATTCATGGACATTTGGATTTATGTCGCGGAGGAAGTCCGTTCCTACTTCGGCTCTACAGAACAGCTGTACAGTGCTGAGCTTCTGAGCGCTAGTAGTTAAAAATGTTTCAGCTATTTTTGCCCCACGTTGGGCATGCCTTTGATACAGTTCAATATTCAGATCACTCAAATAATCAACTGTGACAATTCGACATTTCTCTAATATAAATATAACTACATTTATATTTCACCCTACGTCGCCTAATTATTACCCCTATTCATTACTCGATTTAATGCAGTGGCTAGTTCTGATTTTTATCACGGTTTTTGGTCGTTTATATACTTACGTTATCCTAGGGCGTTTTCGTCTTCTCGTGGGCTAGAAAACACCGCTCATACGAGTATCGGATTGTGGTATTTCAATTTGCTAAGAAATATTCTGTTATTTTATAATTTAATTAATCCTAAATCAAACACCTTGTAGTTTGTTATGAAATGATCAGCGACATGAAGTGTCTCCTGCAGAATCAATCTTTATTTCATTGTTCTTTTTCTTTTTAATATTTGACAATATCTCCTTTATTTTCTCTAATGTAACCTATTTTTGATGCTCATCGCATATCTATTTGGAAAAATGATAGTTCTTTTTCTAACTTAATTTTATACCTGATAAAAAACATCTCTGGGCCTTGCTACATTGTTTATAACGTCTTTTTGCAACTCTAATCTTTCCTTTGCAAAGATATTTCAACAATCAACGTTGTAACGAAATCAGCAACTATTTCCATACTTCCATACTGGAGCTCTTCACATTACCACTCTCAATTCACTTTATACGTTTTACTTCAATTGGCGATCAAAGTGTTTTACAAATATTATTATTTCTCGCTAATTAGTTTCAGCTCACTTACTTCCCTATAAACGTGGCCCACATGTCCATTTTCTGTCTCTCATAAACTAAAAAAAAAATTACATAACTCCCTGACGTCCATAGATCCTCACGTTAGCAAATTCAATATAGTTCCTCTTAAAAGTGTGCGTTTTTAACTACGATCTGTGTTAAAAAGTTCTCTTGTTTGATTGTTATTCTTCGAATCGATGCGCATTTGTCGTTCCTGCAACCATGCATCTAGGCCTCTCTTGTCTTATATCAACAAGGTCCGAAGTTTTTAATATGCTTTTTACAAAAATATACAAAATACAAATTTTCAATTGTCCAAATTTTATTGAATCAATATAATATTCTCATTTTCTGATGATTTGCAGCACTGATGACTCATTTTAATGTGTATCTTTACGTAATGCCTGGTATTTCACCTGTTATATGGCATTAATGTTTTCGCTTTCGAATACACAAATCCCGTAGGGTATTTTGCATTCCCTCCGCCCCCTCTCTCTCCCTCACTCTTTTTCTCTACCTCTCCCTCGTATATGTATATGTAATACGTATATG